TGGGTGCCGGGGCCGCTCCCCCGGGGCCTTGCCCCCCGCGGAGAAGCCGAGGCAGCCCAGAAGAGCCCAGACGCAGCAGTGGCCTTAGGCAGCGTGCTTTATTGCCGGGCTGTCGCAGTCACTCGCTGATGGTTGGGAGAGAAAGCGCAGTTAGAGAGCATGTTAATAAATAAAATAACTTACAATAAATAAATAACCCCTCCCCACTACCTCCACAGGTAGAGCTGTGGTACAGCCTTTGGAGTAGTTACAGGATTAGTCTTAAAATAGCTCCAGCATGTGTTGAATCCATTCAGCTTAGGGCTGCTATAAGCTTTGAGTTACCAGCCCTTGGCCCACGCTGCAGCTTTCTATGAACAGGAGGCGCAAGGAGGCTCCCAAAGAATCAAGAGAAACTAAAGTTCCCCAGGAAATAATTAGTCTATGCAAGCTGAGGCACAGGAGCTGGGCTAGACAAAGTGTTCAGGACTGTGGAGGCCAAACTGCTGAGTTAATTACCGTTAACACAATGCAACACTGCTACTTTTTGTAGTTGTATGGGCTACACTATGATGCTACAACAATGCCAGTATTTACGAAAAAAAAAATACCAGGGACTCATTTGTAACTAACTGCTTCCTTCTCCCCTAGTGCTTCTGCCTACCCAACTCCAGCAGATGCTCTGTATGTTTGCAAGCCACAGCACCTGTGGCCAAGGCATTTAAAGACTTTTTCCTCTCTCCTCCAACCCCTCTGAAGCTTGCTTTTCCAAATGACCTAGCTCTTGGAGGCAGCGGAAGGCCTCACAGGAGGGACCTCAGTACAGCACAGGAGCCAGGCAGCACCATGCAGTACTTACTGCAGTCTCGCTTACTTGCTATATTTGCTTTGGCAAGTCTTGGACACATGGAGGAGGAAGCAGAGACAAGTGGCATAGCAATACCTAAGCCCTTCTTTTCTAGGAACTCCAGGAATTTCTCTACCTTTCATCATATGCAGGTGCAGCTTTACTGGGAATAATTATAATGGAGCATGAGTGCAGAGCCGCTGCTGGCAATTTAACCACTCTATTGTCTAGGCCAAGTCTGAACACAGTTACACAACAAGACACTGGCAAGTGGCCTGCACTAGCACTCCCACTGCTCCAGCACCTGCTGAAGTGTGAGGGAGAGCCCCGGTGAGAGAATACCCAGCTCTTCCCAAGTGGAGGCAGAGCTAGCATTTGCTGGTTCGTCTTGCCTGCCAGCAGAGGGTGGCATAATTCCGCAGCTGGAAATAAATAGCTTCTGCACAGGAGCTATGCCTGCATGAATCTGGAGCTAGAAAAAAACCGCAGAGTTCTTCTGGGAAGAGACAGGTGGACCTGGCAATGGGGACTGGCACAGCCGTGCACACACACTGGTGATGTGGACAGAACCCACCATCAGAGCAGATGCTCTGGGAGGAGGTGCTGTTCCTCCAGTGGGTTCTGGAGAAACCCAAGATGGGAAGGGTGCCCACCCTCACAACCTTCAATTTTCAGAGGAGTCTGTCTCTTCATTGGAGCCTTCACTCTCAGCATCCATTTTTCGTCGATGGTGTAGAGGTTTCCAGGGAGGGTTAATCCTGGGTGAGTTACGGACAGGCAAATGAGCTGTGTCCCCGCTGGAGCTGGTGGGACCGGAGACGGAAAGACTTGAAACCTGAGCTACCCTGCAAGAGAAAAGACAAATGCTAGGCAGCCTAACTTGTCATCTCCAACCTTTACCATAGCAGTTTTGGAGTGAAGCTGGGAGGAGGCCTTACTCACAACTAGTACAGGGATGGAAAGTTGTTTGTGGCGCAGAGGGGGAACACCTTGCACTAGCACCTACCACACTCAGTGCATGACTTTCTTCCTGTTTGAACAGATATTTCTTCTGGGCTGAGCCTGTGTCCTCCAATACTCCTAGTTTTCACCATCCAAACAAAATTTCGTTGTTCATTAGAGACTGTTGCTTCCTTCCTCTAGGTCCCTCTTTGAGGCACTCTCTTCCCCTCTATTTCTGAATCTTTTTCTAAGGATTATGTTAGCTGCACCAGGCACCCCAAAGAAAGAGGCCCTCCTCTGCTCAAGCTGCTCTGTTAGCTCCCCTATTGTTTTATAGCAGAACACAGGAATACGGACAGTACTTTAGTAAAGTCTTCCTTAGCATGCTACCTTTAATCTGCTGCTTCACCTCCTACTTTAGACAACTCCACTTACAATTTCTCAAGTTCCTGATCCATGGCAGGGTCCAGAAACAAGTCTCCTTTATCTGGCAAAGCCCCTGAAAAAAAAACCACAAAGAAAAGTATCAGAGCAGAGTTAGGCTATTCATTCATAAAAAGCGCTCAAGCCATAGCAACATCCAAAATCTGTCCCGCAAGGCAGAGAAGACTCTTCCTTAAACCTATTAATTATAGAAATGGACACTGAATGTTGAAGATCATGGACAGATAAAGAATGATGATCCATATTCTGTGTCCTTAACACAGGCTGTAGCTGACCTCAGACTAAATGGGAGACACTCAGTAGTCTCACCTCTCAGAGAACTTGAAGAGCCATAAGGATTGGCAGTTTCCATTCACTATACAAAACTACTGAGTACTGACTGTCAGAGAGATGACAGACTGTCAGCTTCGGGCCTCTGCTAATTGCTCTATATAGTCACCAGTCCCAGATCCTATCAGAGCAATAAATATGTTGTCTGTGCTACGGCCTGAAGCGTGCACTATACCACCCAGGGAGATGTATACTTCTGTGCCACCTGCCTTTCTTGTGGTGCACTGAGCTTGAGGATCAAAACACTCCACAGATAGAAGACTATTGCTTTCCTTGCAATTCAGGAAAGTCAGGCCTGACTGGTGCACATGAAGTCTACAGGAGTAAGTGTGGATGGACTGTGCTCTAGTGTTGCTTGCTGTCTGGGTGAAAGAGTGAAAGGCTGGGCCAGTAATGAGGTACCCTCTCTCAGCATAAGTTCAGGATTGGAGGAGCTGGTTGATCATCCTTGCCATTCTCTGAAAGGCACCTCAGGAAGAGCCCAAAAAGGAAGATGGGGCTCTTAGGAAACCCCTCCTTCCCAATTCTGTAACAAACTCCACCTTGTACAGGGATCATGGGAGGGAGGGTGTGATCAGCCAGCACAGAGATGACAGCAATTGCCTACTACAGCCTGGATAGTGCCACTGCACACCAGGGAAAATACAAATTACCAAGTGAGGAATACTCTTGTTTTTCAGGAGACCTGGGTGCTACACTCAGTACCTTTGGGAAGGGCCTTTGTGTTGCCCTGTGGGGACACAAATCTGGTTTCTGTCCCTGGCACCTTGGTCTTGAAAGAGGGGCTGGAGAGCCACCTGCCTCACACAGGCATGCTGGCCGCAGTCATAAAAAAACATAGCAATGAGTGTCTAAAAATTACAACCAGATTAGACCAGAACTGACTCCCCCGCTTCTTCCTGTTCTGGTCTTCCCCTCCTGCAAATAAACAGGAAAGCCTGGCACTGCAACACAGAGCGTCAGGAGGTCCAGTGAAGTTCCCCAGCCTGCTCTCTTTCATGGGCTCAATTAAAAGAATAAGCAGCTAAAGCTTAACTTGTTTCTGCATTTGCAGAATGCACAGTGAGGTCTCTAGGGCACAAGAATTACTCAGGAGAGTCAATAAACAACACTTTAAGGATTCACAAATCAACATTGACACTGGAGTTAGGCTATGGATTCCAGTCTGCCTGAAAAACTCACCAGCACTGCCCCAGCCTGAACAAGTGGCTCTAATCCCTACCCTTGTTCCTCAAGGCAGGGTACTGGCTTTGTGAGACCAGAGAGAAGGCAGGCATCCTGACAGAAAGCTCCCTTGCCTGAAACTGCCCTTGCTGAAGGGCTTTGGGGAGCTTGTGATCCCCTACAGACCAAAGACTATTGAAATCACCCTTCAGGAGAGATTAAAAGACACCAGGAAAAGAATTCTCCTTTCCTTGCCAAGATGCTAGCACCTGTCAGACTTGTGGCTGCTGCCCCTCCTCTGTAAGAGGCCTCAGCAGGAGGCTGGCAGAGGGCCAGGGGACGGGCCCACATTAATGGAAACGAAAACCCACACGCTTTGTAGATGGTACAATGGAAGCTGTGGGCAGGGTTTTTTTTTTTCTGCTCATCTGTTTTCTTTGCACTCGACTAGAAGTGGATTTTATAGGGCAAAGGAAAAAAAAGATTTTGCTTGGTGCAATCCAGGCATCACCTTCCCCAGTGAATACACTGCTTCCCAAGCCTGTTTGCAGAGGGGAATTGCAGGACTGTATTCATGTGCCTTTGATACATAATCTTCATGTTCCTGGGTAAGCAGCCCTGCCCCAGAGGAGCATTATCAGCTTAAAGGGTTTGCTGTAAGAAGGGGCTCTGCCAGGGAGAAGACACTTCTACTCTGCTATGATACACACCTGTGCAAAAGAACAAGCCCTCAGGCAAGCTACACCTTTTCACTGAGGTTTGTCTTTGTAATACAGGGACGGGCAGATACTTGCATCTAGAAGTAGAGGAAGATGATACCTACCCAAAGACAGAGAAAGCCTACCCTTAGTGGCCAGATGATTTGCTGAGTGGAGATGAATGAAAATGAGTGTTTGGCCTTCCCCACATTTAAACTTACCTCCTGAATACAGCCTTGTCAAACACAAAAAGCCATTTCTATTCCCCTTTGCAAGAGGAAGAGCACAAGAAAGGCATGTGGAGG